AAGGCTTCAAAGTTATCCTTTGGAAAAACATTCTAACATATCATTATTGTACATCACAACGTGTAACTTCTTGAGGAGCTGTCTCACCTCCAGCAATTTCAAATACAGAACTATCAGGATGAACCTTACAGCATTCAGTACCAAAGTGTTGTGGTTGCCTTTTAATACTTAGTCCAGTCTTACCTTTTTAACATGTTCTAATAGGGAAAAACTGGTTTTCTCCAACCCTTTATCTACACTTACCTTTATTACAAATGCCAAGCTTTATATGAAATGAGTATTTAGTTTTAATTGGGAATATGTTAAATGCAGATCCTAAATTCTCATCCTGGAGCACTTACGGAAGGGTGTATAATCATGTAAGTGGATTCCCTGCTTGTGAAAGAACGCAAGAAAGGCCAGCCTGATTTTGGCTATGGCCCATGCTTGGATATCTTGTCTCTGATAGAGTCTTTGAATTCTCCTTGAGTACTCTGCTCTCCTGTACTTTCAACTTGAGGGACTTCTGGAGACTGATGAGGTTTGTCTATTTACTAAGCCTCACTCAGTCTCTTGTTCAGGACTTGCTCAGCCTTCCATGGAATACAGATAAACTGTTTGCATTCATAACATCTTTCCCAAGCTCTACAAGTCTACCAGCATGAAGAGCCTTTTACTGTCAGCCCTCCTTATCTTTTGCTGGCTACCATGCACTCTCATCATGAAGCTCTTCAGTGAAGACATATGCAGTACATTGACATGGCCTGCAAAGCATGTATAAAGCTGTACCTCTTCCCAGCAAAACTCCTTGAGTGGGCTCTGTGAACACTGAAGTAGTGCATGAGGAATCTGTGTGAATGATAGGTACCTCCACTGTGCTAAAAGAAAGTTCCTCTGCATTTTGTGAGGAGCTTGAACCCATCTGAGGGTGTTGGCGTGCTCTTAGGAAGGCCTCCCAAGCAGAACCCTTCTGGGCACTCACCTGGAGCAACTGTTTGTTTCCAGCTCAGATCTGAGCTACGGGGGAAGGCAGGGCTGTCCCCACGGAGCTGCTCGCAGCCACTGTAGAGGCAGAGCCCTCGGGTCCCCAGGGAGCTTGTTCAGGCACCGTGGTTAGATACGCAGCTGAGCAGAGCACAACTTTAGATGTTGGTGTTACAGTTCTGCCTAAGCCTTGTTGAAGGAACTTAAAAGTCGTAGAATAGAATAGAATTGTTTAGGTTGGAAAGGACCTTTAAGATTATCAAGTCCAACCATTAACCTAACCCTGCCATCCCACCACTAAACCATGTCCCTAAGCACCACATCTACCCATCTTTTAAATACCTCCAGGGATGGAGACTCAACCGCTTCCCTGGGTGGCCCGTTCCAATGCTTGACAATCCTTTTGGTGAAGAAATTTTTTCCTAATGGCCAACCTAAACCTGACCTGGTGCAACTTGAGGCCATGTCCCCTCGTCCTATCGCCCATTACCTGGGAGAAGAGACCAACACCCACCTCACTACAACCTCCTTTCAGGTAGTTGTAGAGGGCGATAAGGGTAACTCCTATAATTTTAGTGATAATATTAATCAGAGGCAAAAATTGCCCTTGCACTTAGTTTTATAGAGAAAAAACCAAACCAAAACAAAAGCAGGAAGATCTACCAGACCATCTTAGTCTCTTTCTTTCTAGGTGTGATAGAGGGCATAAGTGAGCAGCAGTACATCCACTTCACACGGTTCATTTTCCAAATAACTCTAAGCTGTCTAGTAAAAATATGTCTAATACTTAATGTACTCTGATTGTCATATTTAAGTCAAATATTTTGCATCTGTAAGATGTTTCAGATACTGTTGAATAGCCTACCACATTCACATGCCCAGAAGATTTTCCCAGTTGATGGCCTAAACTTTCTGCTTCAAAATTTCGTCTTACTTGTCAGGAATACTTTCTTTTAAAACATAATGGCAAATAATAATTTGCCTTCATAGTAAAACTGTTCAAATATTTGTAGACCATATTTTAACAAACATTGTCCTTTTCTCAGATGTTAGACAACCAGACAGCATGATATCGTACGTATCATATGTATTTTTAAAACTTTGTGTTACTTTTTTCTTTTGTTACTGTTTTCTGAAGCCTCTCTAGTATATCAACCTTTTTTTGATAATGTGAAAGCCAATTTCAAATTATACATACAAAAAATACAGAAAAAACAACTGCTGTGTCTCCCATATATTCCCCTAGATTTTGTGATGTTCATCCCAAAGTTACAGATGCTTTTTAATCATCTCCATTACAGGCAATACCTACACATAATTAAATACAATGGCTCAGATCATCAGCTAGTGCAAATCAGCATAGCCCTACCGAAGTGAGTTACAACAGGTGAGGGTGCTGACTGCCGTGTATAAGCACCCAGAGACACATGGAGGGCTGTTTTTCAGTACTCCAGTCCATAGATACGTGATACAACATCGTTGTATACAGAAATGCTTGGTAAATGATGCACTGCATTTTCAGTACTAACCTACTTCCTTCCCTGGCTAATGCATTTCTTTGGCATAACTGTTTTCAAGATTTTTTTTTTTAAAGGAAGACAGGTTATACTAGCTGTCACTTCTCCAAATCAAATCCCATTTTTGTCATAGAATCATAGAATCATAGAATCATTAGGGTTGGAAGGGACCACTAATGGTCATCTAGTCCAACCCCCCTGCAGTGAGCAGGGACACTGCTAACTAGATCAGATTGCTCAGAGCCCCATCCAACCTGGCCTTGAATGTTTCCAGGGATGGGGCCTCCACTACCTCTCTGGGCAACCTGTTCCAGTGTTTTACCACCCTCATTGTAAAAAATTTCTTCCTTACCTCTAGCCTGAACCTACCCTGTTCTAGTTTAAAACCATTTCCCCTTGTCCTAACACAGCTGGCCCTATGAAAAAGACGTTCCCCATCTTTCCTATAGGCCCCCTTTAGGTACTGGAAGGCCGCAATCAGGTCTCCCCGTAGCCTCCTTTTCTCCAGACTGAACAAGCCCAACTCTCTCAGCCTGTCCTCATAGGAGAGGTGCTCCAGCCCTCGGATCATTTTTGTAGCCCTCCTCTGGACCCGTTCCAACAGTTCCATGTCCTTCTTGTGCTGAGGGCTCCAGAGCTGGACGCAGTACTCCAGGTGAGGTCTCACCAGAGCTGAGTAGAGGGGCAGAATCACCTCCCTCGACCTGCTGGCCACCCAGCCTGTATTGATACTGGGGGTTACCCCAACCCAGGTGCAGGACCTTGCACTTGGCCTTGTTGAACCTCATGAGGTTCCGCTCACCCGCTTCCGCTCTTTCTAGAACTGCTTGAATTATTTTAATGTACTCATTTGTGTTTGCAGCTGCTAGAGCAGCAAAAAAAACGCTTAAGAAAACCTGAAACAGATCTTTATGGCACCTTTATTTAATTCTTCACAAAATGTGACACCCTTCATTTATGGTCTTAAATAATTTTGCAAAACCGTGTGCCATTTTTCACATCCAGGCTATTTGAATTAATCTCGGGGTAAGAGCCTATTGTCTTCACATTCGAACTGTTCAGGGAAACACTCCATGGGCTCTATTGCTGGGAACATAGATCTTTCTAAACATTAGGACAAACAATGCCTCCCTGATATCTAAATAAAACCATTTCAAATGCTGTTTGCTGTGGCTAAATGAATTTAGATATGCCAAGAAACCTAAGCCTTATCTAGCCATGCACTTACCTGTCTGTAATATGGCTACTGCTGCTAATTATACCTCTATGTTCAAATTGTTATAAAACACTGTCTGAGAAGCAATGAACTGAAAATCAGAGGGAGCTACTGTTATGGAAACTGTATACAGTTCATCCTGATTCCAAAAGTTTTGAGGCTGCATCCTCTTCATAAGATAAAATGGAATTAATTCTTGGCTAAATTATCATTTCAGATAATGACTGTTAATAAAGATCATGCATCTCATTTCACCTGGACAATATTTATATATACACTAGCTATATATTTGTGCTAATAACAAGTGCTTGTGTCCACTCCTTGGTAGGCTGTCACTTCCTTTAAAATGTCTCTTTTCACCTTCTCCATCCTCCCCTGTTGCTCATGACTTACAATCATTTTTTTAACCCCTGTATCTTTCTCTCTCTCTGCATTCTAACACACATTGTTTCTTCTTCTAGAGCATATGAACATATTTCACCCAGAGGAAGGTTTTTTCCTTCTTCCAAAATTCCTTCCAGTGAATGCTCTGGAACGTAGAGGGCTCAAAAGTAGAAAATATCTGTTGCCAGTCCTGGAAGTTTCATGCCAAAAAGGAGTAAATGCAATTATAAAGAGCTTTTGATCTTCCGTGTGAGAAAGATGCTGGAGGTAGAAGTGTTCCCTGCCAATGAAGTCCCAAGTCTGTGTTTGCCCAGCCCAGTTACTTTTGGACAGTTTTGGTTTTAGGAGTTTCCTTTCTTATTCTGTTACCTGTTGACTTCTGCAAGCGCAAAGAATTATGATTATCTGTACAAACGGTTCTATCAAAGAATTTTTCTGTGAGGAATACAAAAGGATACGCTTGTACATTGGCAAGCTTAGGCTCCGGGTTTCTCGACATCTGCCTACACGTTTCACTTCGAAATAACCAATTAGAACAAAGCGAAGTGCATTTTTGTATGAAACGGAGGGACTCAGACTTTAACACCAAGAAGTATTTGACAAATAAATATATATTTGTCATTATATATATAAAATATATATTTAATTCTGTGAACATGTGCCACAGTTTGCTAATAAAGAGTACTTTGCAGAATAATTCAGCATTCAAAATGTGCACTAGAGATGCTGACTTCAAGAATGTTTAGAAAGTGACTTCTGAATGTAAGAAAAAAAAAGAAAAAGCAACATTTTTGTGTGTAGAAGGTAAATAAATACATTCCAATTAGTTTTTAAAAAAAACACATGGAAAAGTAATCTATTTATAAATAAAGAGAAAATGTATTTTAATTTTCCTTTGTCTTTTTCTTTTCCCTTCACAGATCAATAACACGCTCTTATTATCGCAATTCTGTGGGTGGCTTACTAGTGTTTGACATCACGAATCGACGATCTTTCGAACATGTGAAAGACTGGCTAGAAGAAGCAAAACTGCACGTGCAGCCCTTTCAGATTGTGTTCCTGTTAGTAGGACATAAATGTGACTTAGTGTCACAGCGTGAGGTTACAAGAGAAGAAGCTGAAAAACTGTCGTCTGACTGTGGTATGAAATATATAGAAACTTCAGCAAAAGATGCCACGAATGTTGAAGAGTCCTTTACCATTCTTACACGAGACATCTATGAACTTGTAAAAAAAGGAGAAATCTCAATACAAGATGGATGGGAAGGTGTCAAGAGCGGCTTTGTTCCAAATGTTGTACACTCATCAGAAGAAGCTGTGAAGCCCAGAAGACAGTGCATCTGCTGAATTTGTAGCATGCCAAAGAGCACATCAGGTGTTCAGAAGATGATGCCAACCTAAATAACAGAACAATAATTTTGAAAGAATATTAGATCATGACATAGCTGAATCATAGAATGGTAATTTGGTTTTGTGTCCTTCTGTCTAGGTCATAACTTCATAAAACTTTAAGTGCTTTTTTTCTTTTCTTAGTACAATAACTTTGTGTGGTCTTCAGGAAAAGAAATTATGTATTGCTAAAGGAAAAACTAATCCAATAGCAAGACACTGAGAAAGCGCAATAATCATCGTGACAACATCCTCTCTTGGGCTTTGTATTTTGAATACTGTTTAAAATCAAGGCTTGCTAGGTGAGGATCAGATGAGCTCATTACTTTTGTTCATCCTGCCTTCATTTTGGACAAGAAAATATACCTTATACTTTTTTAATGTGATTCTTTACTCAAGTGCAGGGTTGCTAATGACCATTAAAGTTTAGAATGCTGTAGAATTTCATAATAAAGACAACTCTAAAGAAAGCAAGCTGAAAGATTGCTCCAATAGCAAACACTTTTGATATGACTATGAACACAAGCCTTACTAAAGAAAAAGAATGTTTTAGAAAAGATCATTTATTTGTATATGAAAATGGGAATAGAAGCAATGAAATTTATTATTAAATATTTTCTGAATTGCCAATGAAACGAAATGTAACATCACATATTATCCAGCTGTTATTTGACTTGTATACAAAACAGATTTCCCAACCACTGGAGTTAGATTTTGGAGGACAGATCCTCAGCTGGGTAATTATAGCCACACAGATGCCTAGGGAATTATGTTAATTTACACAAATAAATTCCATATTAGCTTTAAAAAATAAATCTACTTCTAACTAGAAGTAAAAATAAATTAAAAAGCGCTGCAACCCATGGGGACGCAGGCCTTAAATTTGAATAGAGCAAGGATTGTTTTATTCTCAGCCAGGAAATGTTAAACTGTTAACTAAAAAATGAAGGTTTTCAATGCAAAACTGTTAGGAACAGAGTGTTTGGAGAGGAGAGAATTTCTAAAATAATGCTTGGCTATGGAGAGCAAAGGTGGAGAACCCCTATCGTAAGACAGCAACACATAATAGCTTTTAATAACAATAATAATAGGAGAAACCTGTGATCATGTAGCATTTTACTGAGCTTGAGGTCATCTTCCTGCTCCTCCGAATATAACACACACTAGCTTTATGCAAACTGTGCCCTACATGTCTAGCACTTAAATACCAAATAAGTCTACTTCTATTTCATTGTAGTAGTGTAACAAGATAACTCGATCTCCAGAGTTGATAAGCATCTACAAGGTATCTGGGCATACTTATAACCACCGAACATCAAGACAGTTATCTTCATATAAAGGTGTGTTACAGTGTTACAGTTCTCCATTTTCAAGATTAGGCAACAAGTGTATCTAATCTAACTTTTTTCTTCAACAAACATATAATTGGTTTTCCCTTGGGTTACTTTTAGGTGCTTTTACAATCCTTTTGTAAATATTCCATAGTACAGAAACAGGTTGTTTGGTTCCAGTTATTTTATTCATTTAGGGCCACTAAAATGATTGACTTCAAAGGGAACTGTTAGTTTTTTCAATAGCCTGAGTCTCACTTGCACTGAGGCACAGTTACACTGTCATAGAAGGATACAGAGGCCTTAATATAAACAGGAATCAGCCTTAATTCATTAGCAATTAAAACAGTTAGTTAATTCTAGTCTCAGCATGCCAAAAGTAATTGCTGTGAGCCTGATTCTCTATTAAACTATATATATTAGTTGTTTACACCAAATCAATTTTGATTTGAGGGCATTTTAGGCCCTCTTTACGTAAACGTAAGTGACTACAGATGCCAAAAGGTAGTGCAGAATCAGCCTGTGTGCATTTGACACTGATTCCCCTACGATCCTAGGCCCATGTTGTGTATCTCAGAAGATCTTCTCTTAGTTCTTTAAGAGGACGGAATGGGCCAACAAATAAATCGGTGGCTGGGGAGTAAACAGACTGAAAGTCTACCACTGGTTCACTGTGTGTTTCTGAGCAAGGCATTTACGTTTTCTGTGCCTCACCGTCTGTATGTCAAAAATAGTGATGATCGTTCTTCCTCAAATTCACAAAGACTGCTGAGACCTGATCTGACTGTATGATCTTCAGTCTGGACTCTTTTCTCTATGTGCTACCTGTTGTAGAGTGTTTGGCACCATGGGATGTGGATACTGGTTTCTTCTGCCATACCAAAAAAAAAAAAAAAAATTAATACAGCTTTATAAGTACCAGGTATTGCTATTACTATGAATCTACATTTCATTACACATTTCATTACTTCCAGGTCAAAATCTTTTATTGTAAAACTTTTCTTCCTGAATACTCTGAAGCCAATGAGCTTTTCATTCTGTATGAAAAAAATCAGGTGTGTTGGAGGGGAAGGGACTGGGAGGAGAGGGGAGTGGAGGAGAGGTATGCACAGAGAAATAAACAATCATCACAACAGAGCCTTAATGATCTCTGCTGTCAAATGTTGTACCTGTAGTGTCACATCTGTTACACTGGGAATAGAGCTTTTAACCAGATTCAACTGGGTAAGGAGCTGGTACTGTCAATGCAACTAGATGAGAAGTTCACTGCATTTTAAAGTACTGTGCACATAGTTGTCTTACTTGTAATTCCTAAAAATGTAGATTAACATGTACATTCAAACATTGTCTATCTTGATGATATATTAAACAACTACCGTGTCTTCTCACTACACGCAGTCGATAGAAATGTCTGATAAATAGATGACTTGCTCAAATACATCATTTTGTTTTCAGATGCTTTGCAGTACACTATATAACAGCTTGAATAGGCTGTAGAATGGATTAGAGTTTAGTGCACGTATATTCTTTTTTCCTCACAAGGAAGGGCAAATATGACACTTACTTACTATTGATACCAAAATGAAATTTCCAGAAATTACAGAAATTAGAGAAATCTCATTTGACAGCCAAATTAATACGTAGAAATTATTTATTAAGAAAACCCCATAAATTTTGCAAATTAAAGTTAGGTAAATCCCAGTTAGGAAAAGGAAAAGCTGTTGAAATAGTAAACAGTTTGTATTTGGATTCATAGGCCTGGCAAATGAATGGATATAAAGTATTGTTTGGACTCCTAAAGTGTTTAAGTTTTCATTGCTTTTACTTTAAGTTTGATAACGAAGAATAAAAACCGTCCTCTATTCATTTAAATATTTGACACATGAATTCTTCAGATACTTTGGCTTGCTTATAATTGCATTTGTCCTGTGTAAGCAGCAGAACCTAGTAGCACACCCTACGAATCAACCAAGGAAAAAATTTTGAGGTGGCGTATGTTTGTAGTATTCATTTATGCCTTCGGCATGGACTACTTACCAATCTAATGTCAAGCTGGATGACTCAATGCCCGGTGACCGTCATGTGCTCACAGAAGATAATACAGGCTTGACTGGGCACCCAAGTATGCTGCGGTTGCTCTGTGCCACAGCCAAACCGTTACTGGTACCCAAGCTGCCAAACTTAAAGCAAAGACAGGTGGATGCACCATGCTCACAGATATGTCAGTCTCAGTGTTTCAGCTCCCTTACAGAATACACGCTTCATTGTCCTCTTTTTTACATAATTAACATCCAGGGAGAGTTCTTTTCCCCCAGCTGTAGACCCCAGCACATGACATGGCTCCTCCAAGTCTCCACCCTTGCCTTTTGCCCAGAGCTGTCACAGCAATCTCAGCAGCCTTTATTCAGCCTTGGAGAGAAAGAAGGAGAGCTGAGTGTTTATTTTCTACATGGGCACGGAACCATACCACAAATATGGTGGACTCTTTAAGAAATCATTAAATATCAAACTGCAATTTTCAATAGCAAACATTTGCATTGCTTCATTTCTCAGAGTCCAAAAGGCAATCTTTTAAATAAGTGAATGAAATTAAGAGAGGAATCTGTAAAATATAAATCTTCCTAAAAAGCCTAATGGATAGGACTGCACAACAAAATAAACAGATTCTAAAAAAAAAAAAAAAAAAGTCCAAGCATTTGTGTAATGAGCCTTTGCTCTAGTACTTAACTGTATGTGGTAGCACCTACAATACCTAGGTTTGTTAAGGATAATGATGGTACCATTGAATGTTTTTAAAACTAGAAGAATTCAACCAAAAATTCATCTGCCTGATCCTCAGAGAAAAAAACCCGACTGTATCTCATGAATCCCAGCTCACTTCTAGTAGTAATTCATCTGGGTTAAGTGCTAGGTTGCATGAGGCCCCCCTCTCTGAAAGCCTACTACCTATATATGCTGTCATTTTCCTCAGCAATATTTCCTCCTCTGCGAAGTGAATACAGCTGTGGAAAATACGAATTTTACTTTTGAGTACGGCAGAATTGTTTATCACATCTCAATGAATGTGCAAATCTGGTGAAAGTAATGCGATTGAAGACGTGCCAGTTGAGCATAGTATGAAGACTGTGAAGTTCTACAGGTTCCTGAAGACAATTTGCCTTGCATAATAGTTAACTAGTGGGAGTCTAGTATATGTGTGAAGAAAACAAAGTTGGTTCTGCGAACCCCAAAATATTTTGCTAAGCAGCACTTTTGACATGGAAGAGCTGGCCCTATAGGCACAGGACTCCACAGAGCAATCATTTCTCTTCATGGAGTTGCTGCTCCCACAAGGAACCAGTGGAACAGCAAACACATGGATAAAATGCTTCCAGGAAAAGAACTTGATAGCACAAATCCCCCCAAATACAATGTACACATGGTGGGCTTTTTACCCCTAGGGAGACAGGAAACAGTTGTTCAGCAGCCAACACCACCACAGCACTTGCATGGCATCTCCTCCCGTGACTGCCCACTGCCCACTGCCCACAGGGGCCAGGCAGGAATGGTGAGTAGCAGCCTCTTTATGTAGGGGCAGGTAAATCTTCATTTAAACTGAGGAATCCAAAATCCCCGTCCTGAGCTTCT